AAATGGGCACTAGAAAATAACTGAGTGTGCATGCAATCGTCTTCTAACATCCTAATATTCATGCAAACTAGGCACGCTGGCTCAACGGGGCGATGGCCTCCATCCAGCACCAAAAACATGAAGTTCGCACTCAATGGGGCGAATTCATCCATCGAGCACCCGGAACACGGAATACACAATTCCAACATAAATTAAACGCATGCATACGTACAACGGAAGCTTAAGGCATACAAGCAACACTCAGATAATTCACCCAACACATCATAACAATCCATCTGATTAATCTCATTCATGGAGAGCTAATTTAAGGCAAAATTACTAACATGCATACATATAATCCAAGCGAACCCTACAAGTATTTCTTCCTAAATACCGGGTGGTGACTTACCTGGTTGACGCATGCCCTTTTTGCTAGCGTTTCTTTGCCCGTGAGGTGTCCAAAAGTACTGATTTCTTTAAATTAGGTCCCTATTCACGTAAGAACAGTATTAGAACTAGAACCGAGACAAAAAATCGGGCAAACAGAAAACAACCGGGCCAAATTGACCGTTCCACGCGCTCTCACGCGCCAGCAGCGCGCTGGGAGTGCGTGGTCACGCACGCGGGAAGGCGCCAGTCGCAGGCTGCACGCGCACCTGCCACGCGCGCCCGCTTTCGCGTAGTCGCGGGTCGTCCAGTCCGGTCGGCTCGGCTCGCGTTTGCGGTTAGGCCCGGCTTGCAGGCGACACGTGTCGACGCCTCGCTGGAGCTGCGTTGCTCCAGCTGATGGTCGACGCGTGTCCGGCGCCTGTCGCCACCCACCGTCGTTCGCCGGCTGCCCTTCTTTTTTTTTCTTTTTTCTTTTCTTTTTTTTCTTTCTTCTTTCTTCTCTGTCATCTGAAAACCGAAACACAGTCCCCTTTTCCAATTTTTATATCTTTTGATCCGTGGATCGGATCGATATGATTTCTTCGGCAAAGTTCTAGATCGTGTTACAGGCTACGTCCTAGTATTTTTTTTTTTGTAATTTTTGCTTGACTATCGGACGAGTTAAGAACATCGGAAGTTCACTCACCGTTCTTAGACGACTCTCGGATCTCTGCCTTCGGGTTGAGATCTCAGCCAAACTTCTTCACAGATCATGCTAGAGTTGTTCCTAGATGAATATATCAAGATTTCAGATCTTGATTCACAAAGAAAAACCGTAGATATGAGAAAACGTTCAAGAACCTTACCTTGAGGGTTTTCCAATTTCTTGATAAAAAATGGGACTCCGGCCACCCACATTCTCTTTTCCCTTCCAACAAAGGCTCCTTGCATCATGATCTTCACCCTTCCAAGAAAGGCTCCTTGCATCATGATCTTCACCAACTTGTATCATAATCTTCACCAACTTGTATCATGATCTTCACCGGAATAGACTCCGACAGTAGTTTTCGGTGAGTCTTCCAGCGGTTCATTCTTTCTCCTCTCTCTAGGTTCTCTCTGCCCCTTTCTTTCACTATTTCTTTTTTGCAGGACACTGGATGGGGTTTCATTTGGACCCCTTAGGTGGATGGAGGGGTAAATTTACCTATTTGCCCCTTTGGACTTTTCCTATTTTTTTTTTTTTCTATTTCTATTTCTCTTTCTTAGGGTATTACAATTAAACATCTCATTTTCTATTAAAAATATAGTTACTCTTATAGGAAAGAAAGAATTTGATGGAGTTATTTTCGGTTGGAGTATTGTCTCCTTTCTTAAGCTCTGATATTTCAAAATTCAATTCTTTTTCTATGGTTTATCTTCCGTAATTTTTATTCTTAGAAATAAAGCTGTGTTTGGCCGCACCCATAACAAAAAAATTGCCAAGATTATTTTAGGGGCTTGAATTACACATATAACAAAAGAAAGTTTAACCAATTCTATATCTCATTTTTATTTCTCTCTATATTCCTTTGGATTTTTTCTTTTAATACGGTTAACAATTATCTCGGGTCAATTCTAATAGATTCTTGAATTTGAGATATTGAAGGGGAGACAATAAAACACTCCTATTTTATTAGGTTGAAAAATGAGATCTAAGATATAATTTATAGTAATAACATACCAATATCGAAGTAAATCTGCAATTTGCTGGTAAACACTGTTTTCATTTCACTCCGAGTATATCTGACATTTTCTATTTTCATTTTACTTAAATCTGACATTTTTGTTCTCTCATTTTTTTTTTTTTATCCTTTTTTGTGTGATACAATCTGTAGTTAGTTAAGGGTTGGTTGAAAAAAAGATATTGGGAGGTGAGAGATGATCCATTACCATTTCTTTATCTTATTTATATTATTATTTTTTTTTAAGCTATTACACGACAAATCCTCTCATTATTGATGGAAATTTTAAAATTGTAAAGCCCTCGTTGAATGAAGTTTTAAACACCTTCACGACATCAAATCTATGGAAATTTCAATATTTTAGATGAGTATTTACTATGAATAGAATAATATGAACACACTAACCAAATGTAATGTTGTAACGCAAAAAAAAAAAAAAAAAAAAAAAAAAAAAAAAAAAAAAAAAAAAAAAAAAAAAAAAAAAAAAA